CTGCCAATAGCCCTTCCAATTCTAAGGTTTGCTGATTCTGCAATCCAGACATTATTTTATAACTGTTCTTCTATAATAACAAATACTAAGTATTAGTACTACACACACATGCACACTCATATATATATATGGTAATGTTTACTTACAAAGTATATTGAAATCTGTTTTACTTCTGTAGAGACTGATAGAGAAGTCTTGTCAAATGCTATTGGAACAGGTATAATAAAGGGGCCAATCAAGACACGATTAAAGAGTCACCCAGGTAAGGAAGCATTTATAGTTTATCAATATTCCTGGAGTCAAATTAAGTATGGACCTTTAATGACAACTGTACTATATATTAGAATTACGTGGGTAAAATTCTTTATGAATATCTTCCTATAATTAAACTCTAATATTTACTATTAATGAAAATTAGCAGTACACACACATGCATACTCACACAAACATAAGGTAATGTTTACTTACAAAGTATGTTGAAATCTATTTTACTTCTATAGAAACTGATAAAGAAGTCTTGCCAAATGTTATTGGAACAGGTATAATAAAGGGGTCAATCAAGACACAATTAAAGAGTCACCCAGGTAAGAAAATCTAATATTTGTAGTTTTTTGGTATTCTTGGAGTTAAATTAAGCATGGACCTTTAGCATGTAATTCTAACTTATAGATTGACAATAGTACCTATAAGTTAGAATTACATAGGTAAAATTCTCCATGAATATCCTCCTATAATTAGTTAAGCTGTAGTATTTACTATGAATCAAAAATTAGAATACATTACTAGTGTAAGAACTCATGTACTTAGAAGTATATAAAAATCCAGTGTTATAGTGATTTTATAAAAGCTTGTTTGTTTAGTACTATGTACTTTCATTTTTCTTGCTTAGATAGGAAATTTGTTTTGAATTTGCAAAAGCATAAATGCTAGTTGATGAATGTGATAAAAAGAGGAATATAATAGTTATTTCATGGTGACAAATTACCTCTATATAATTAAAGTGTCAGGCAAATTTATAACATCACAGCTCTAGCAGGTTGCTTTAGAGATATTATATTTCAGATAACACATTTGTATATTGAGTCCAGAAGTAACAGTGTTATAGACACACCACTTCTTTGATTTCTAGTGAATGCCCACAGAGTTAGACAGCTTAACAGAAAAATAAGGGATGGAGAAATTTGAAAATAAACCTGATAAAGCCATTGTAGTACGAAAGTAACTTTCCATGACTAAAGCTGTTTTTTCAGAGCAGCAACACTAGAGGCTTTGCACCACAGGAGAAAGACTCTGTGATAAGATAACCCAGCCATGTCATTAATCAAATAAGTAGTAAATAAAACAACAAGCTCCCACAAGCAGGGGAAGAAATTGGTATCTAGAGTTGCTATAAAATAGTCTCTAAAATGTGTAGTGCTTAGCAAAAGATTATGGGGAATACAAAGAAACAGTAGTGTTACCTATACATGGGAAAAAGGCAGGCAACAAAACATTCTCATGAGAGTGTCAGATGTTGGACTTAAAAGGCAAACTACAAAACAGTTATTTATATGTTCAAACATCATTAAAGGAAAACATCATTAAAGAAGGTCAAGGTCTCATTAAATAAAGAATATCCAAAAAGAGAAATAATTTTTAAGAGGGCCAAATGAAAATTCTAGAATTGAAAAGTATAATAAATACTATACGGAAAATTTCACTATACAGGCTCAATAGTAGCTTTCAACGGTCAGAAGAAAGAATAAGCAAATGTAATGAGACTAGTAGACAGAGAATAGAGAAAATAGCAGAAAGTATATTTTAAGAAATAATAGCTAAAATCTTTGAAAAATATTTGAGGAAACACATTAATCTACACCTCTAAGCTCAATAAAATTCTAGGTAGAATAAACACAAAGAAGCCATAGTAAAAATGTTTAAAGACAAAAAGAAAATCTTAAAAGCAGCAATATAAAAACAATTCATTATTTTTGAACCCCTGTAAGATTACAGGGGTTCAAAAGTGAACCCCTGTAAGATTAACCCAGTAAGATTAACCCCTGGCTTAGCATCATACTGTGGAGACCAGAACACAGTATGATGACATATTCAAAATGCTGAAAGGAAAAAGACTGCCAACAAAGAGTCTTATGTTAGGCAAAATCATTTTTCAGAAAGGAAGGCAAAATGAAAAGATTACTCAATAAATAGAAAAAGAGAGAATTTGTTGCTAGCAGAACTGCTTTTCAAGAAATATTAAAGAAAGTTTCTTCAGGCTGAAAGTAATTGACCTTACTCAGTAATTCAATTATGTCCCCAAAGAGCATGAGTTAAAGGAATTATGTAATTCCAAAAGACTGTATGAATGCATATTTTATTTCCTTTCTGCTTAATTTATTTAAAAGACAATAGTATAAAAAGTACATAAATTTATTGTTGGCTCTACAACATATAATAGGAGTATACAGAATTTATTTCACAATAATAGTACAAAGAGGTGAGTGGCAGCAGAGACATGCCAGAGTAAGAAAATGGTGACAGTTGTAGCCTTGTGGTCACACACAGGTTGAAAGTAAAATATGGAAAACTATTCCATGAAAATGATAACTAAACAATGAGCAGAGATGGCTGTATTTATAGAAGATAAAAAAGTTCACTATATAATGAGAAATTATCAACTCATCAAGAGGACAAAATTATCATAAATATATGTGTATCCAACAATGGACCACCTAAATATATAAACTAAACATTAACAGAGAAGAAGGGAGTGCTAGATAGCAATACATAATTGTAAGGGGAGAGTATAGTCTACTTTCAACAATGGATAAATCATCTAGATAATAAATCAATAAGAAAATGGCAGAATAGCACTGTAGGAAAAATAAACCTTACAGACATATACAAAATAGTCCATTGATTAGTAGCATAATATACATTCTTCTCAAGTGTACATTGAACATTCTCCAGGACTGATCATATGTTGAGCCACAAAACAAGCCTTTACAAATTTAATATCAATGATATGACACTAGAAATCAGTGACAGGAGAAATTTTGGAATATTCACAAATATATGAATTTAAACAATACACTCTTGCACAACCAATGGGTCAAAAGGACATAAAAAAGAAGTGAAAAAAGTATCTTGAGACAAATGAAAATGGAAAACCAACATACCAAAACTTATAAGATGTATCAAAAGCAGAGGTTAGAGGGAATTTTATAATGATAAAAGTTTACATTAAGAAAAAAGAAAGATCTCAAATAAACAACCTACCGTTACACCACAAGGAACTAAAAACAAACAAACAAACAAACTAAACCCAATGCTAGCAGAAGGAATTAAATAATAAAGATTGTAGAGGTGAAAGGTGTGGATCCTGCTTCAGTCTTCTACATGTGGCTATCTAGTTTTCCCAGCACCATTTATTCAATAAGGATTCTTTTCCCCAGTGTATGTTTTGGTTGGCTTTGTCAAAGATTAGATTGCTACATGAGTATGGTTTTATATCTGGGTTTTCAGTTCTGTTCCACTGGTCAATGTCCCTGTTCTTATGCCAATACCAAGCTAATTTAATTACTACAGCCTTGTAGCATAGTTTGAAATCTGGCAAATTGATACCTCCCATTTTGTTTTTATTGCCTAGGATTGCTTTTGCTATATGGGGTCTTCTCTGGTTCCATAAAAATCATAAAATTATTTTTTCTATATCTGAAAAATAATGTTGGTATTTTAATAGAGATTGCATTGATTCTGTAAATCACTTTGGGTAGTATAGACATTTTAAAAATGTTGATTCGGCCACCCCACCAGCATGGTACAGTTTTCCATCTATTTATGCCCTCTGCTATTTCCTTCCTCAGTGTTTCATAGTTCTTCCTGTAGAGATCTTTTACCTCCTTAGTTAAATATATTCCTAGATAATTTATTTTCTTTTTTGCTATTTGTGAAGGGTATTGAGTCTTTGATTTGGTTCTCAATTTGACTGTTATTGGTGTATATGAAGGCCTCTGATTTGTGTGCATTGATTTTGTATCCTGAGACTTCACTAAATTCACTTACACTGGGTAACAGACTTAAACCTAAGGTATGAAACTATTAGAATTCTAGAGGAAAACGTTGTAAATACTCTTCTAGACATTGGCCTAGGCAAAGAATTTATGAAGAAGACCCCAAAGGCAATCACAGCAACAACAAAAATAAATAAATGAGACCTGATCAAACTAAAAAGCTTCTGCACAGCCAAAGAAACGGTCATATGAGCAAACAGACAACCTACAGAATGGGAGAAAACTTTTGCATGCTACACATCTGATAGGGGCTGGTAACTAGAATCTATTTAGAACTCAGGAAAATCAGCAAGAAAAAAATCAAACAACCCTATCAAAAAGTGGGCAGAGGACATGAACAGAAACTTTTCAAAAGAGGACACAATAATGGCCAACAAACATATGAAAAAATGCTCAACATCTCTATCACCAACATCTCAACATCACCTATCTCCAGTGAGAATGGGCTTTATAAAAAGTTTCAAAACAATAAATGTTGGCGTGGATGCGGAGAGATAAGAACACTCATACACTGCTGGTGGGACTGCAAACTAGTGCATCCTCTGTGGAAAGCAATATGGAGATATCTTGAAGCAATACAAGTAGATGTACCATTTGATCCAGCAATCCCATTACTGGGCATCTACCCAAAAGAACAAAAGACACTCTATAGAAAAGACACTTGCACTCAAATGTTTATAGAAGCACAATTCACAATTGCAAAGATGTGGAAACAACCCAAGTGCCCATCAATACATGAGTGGATTAATAAAATGTGTTATATGTATACCATGGAGTACTATTCAGCTATAAGAAACAATGGTGATATAGCACCTGTTGTATTTTCCTGGATAGAGCTGGAACCCATTCTACTAAGTGAAGTATCCCAAGAATGGAAAAACAAGCACCACATGTACTCACCAGCAAATTTGTATTAACTGATCAACACCTAGGTGGACATATAGGAATAACATTTATCAGCTGTTGGGCAGATGGGAAGGGGGAGGAGGGAATGGGTATATACATACATAATAAATGCGATGCACACCGTCTGGGGGGATGGTCATGCTTGAAGATCTGACCTAAGGGGGGGGGGCAAGGGCAATATACGTAACCTTAACATTTGTACCCCCATAATATGCTGAAGTAAACAAAATAAAAAATGAATAAAGATTGTAGCAAAACTAAATAGAGACTAAAAAGACAATAGGTAAGACCAACAAAACTTAGAGGTGGTTTCTGAAAAGATGAAGAAATTGGCAGTCTTTTGCCAGACTAAGAAAAAGAGAGAGAGGACTGGACACCTTATAGAGGAAAAAGTAGAATTACAACTGGTATCACAGAAATACAAAAAAATCATAAGAGTGTCAACTATGAACAATTATATACCAACAAGTTGGGTAACCTAGAAGGGATGGATAAATTCCTAGAAATATGCAACCTACCAAGAGTGAATCAGAGAAATGTTTCAAAAGAAAAAAATCATCAAATATAAAGGTTTTTTTTCTTTTTTTTCTTTTTTATTTCGGCATATTATGGGGGTACAGATTTTA